ATTAAGTTAACTGAAGCATTCAGAATCACAGTTGCTACAGTATCATACTTGGTTTGAGCACTTAAGCATGCACAAGTATCTTCAATTATGCTGAAGGAAGCTAGAACTCCCTTTCTAAGCTAATTAAGAGCTGGTGATAACAAGGAACCGTTCTTCTCACTAGTTAATTGCTGCTGAGCAGCCTCAGGATTGTGATCCTCTAGGACAATGATTAGATTTACAAGAAAGGTAAGCACTGACTTACCAGAGATGTGCTTCTGGAGGAACAAGAGGACCTTACAGCAACTTCACTTAACATAACGTTGCTTCTAACAAATACTCTAGGTGGTTACTATTGCTATTGGATCTTCCATAACTGAAGGTCACTAGTTACCATATGAGGCAAATATTACAAAAATGTTAAACTTAAGGTACATACTGCCAGTTAGATAAGGACATCTAAGGGCTGTCCTGGGGGAACCCAGGAGTAAATTAAGAATGTAAAAAAGCTGAGCTACCAGGTCATCTGAAAGCGTCAGAAATTGAGTTAGAGCTAGAGCCAGTACCTTAACTCTGTCCAGACCAAGATGGCTTGGATGATTAGAAGTTTAAGACTGATTACCAAGAATCCCAGTGATGATCTGCCAGCTTTGCATACACTAACACAATATTTATTTGCAGTGGAAATGTTAATGGCCATATTTTCATGATTTTTTCCTGTCCTGCAGACAAAAAAATGTGCCTGCTTTGTAGCTGGAAAGGAAGTAGAATTACAACAACATTAAATGACCTCCCTAAGGCCATGCTGCGTTTCTTTAGCAAAAATAATAATGCTGTAATACTATAATGGGATAATAATAACAGGGTAGCAAAGTCTTTGGCTACAGCAAATGAGAATAAGCCCAAGTGCAGAAGCCACAGATGCAAAAATGAAAGAAAAGAGCTACTCACCTTTAGAAGATCTCCTGCAAGAGATGCCTGCACCTCCACTGCCAACCCTTAAATGAGATCTGGGAAGGGGTGGATCCTGGCTCCACCCCTTCCTGCCACTTGGGTGCATCACATGCACCTGAGCTGCCCTGGGTTGGCCCTGCCTTTCCAACAGGTGCTCAATCACTGATTCAGGCCGTGACTTGGCATTTCCACTACAGATGTGAATTCTTATTTTTTGGCTCTCAGTCTAGTTCTGGTCCCCATTCTTATCCTTGCGTCTTAAGTAATCATTTTTTCTAAGGTTTTATAGATTTTCCTCTGTACAAAGCATTTATGTCATTCACTTATGTTTAAGTTCAGGAGGGTCAGTTGACTGTGCTTGAAATAAAAAACAATGTCATTTCTTGTAAACCAAAATGAACATAAGGAAGAAATTCTATTCTCTGGCACAAGTATTTATATGGTTAGTTGTTAAGCAGCCCTGCTAATGCAATTTTACAACTGTATTCCATAGTATATTCATGCTTTTAAGTGCTTCTGAATTCTTCATTTTGTGTAAAGCACTTAATTCTTCACTTCAAGAAACTCTTGTATCAGATTGTTTACACAAGCATCACTGAAGACTGGCCAAGCCTGTTATGTCCAGAAAGTGTAAAACAAGGAGAGTATGTGCAGATAATCAGGTGGGACTGAATTCATCAAAATATTGCCATTAATATATTATTTAAAGCAACTTCATTATGTTCAATACAGGTAAGTATCGAGCAGATATTCGCCATCTCCATTTAAAGAAAGGTTGAAGTATTCCCAGTTAATCAAATATGCTTCACTTGCTGGGCCCATAAATAAATTTTAAATCAGGTTTTTAGAAATCACAGAAACTACAGGCTTCTGTAGTTGCCAGAAAACAATATATTAAATCTGCTTTAAAAACTTATCCAGTGATCCTCCCAAACTAATAATTTTATTTTAATTTGTATACCATGAAAATAGAATAAGTGTGTAGGGTTAAATAATAATAATAAATAATAAATAAATAAATAAATAAATAAATAAGAGACTAATGTTTATTTTTTATCATCCCAGTTTGCTTCAGCAGTAAAGTAGAACCTAACATTATCTAGAAAACTTTCTTTTAGGAAATTATCCAGGAGAATAAAGCACAGTGAGAGAGAGAATTTTTTTTTAAATTATGCTTTAAGTATCCCAGCTTAAGTTCTCTAGACTAAACAGAAAAAACATGACCAAATACATTTTCAGTCTTAAAAATGCAATCTACAGTAGATTGGAAAAAAAAAAAATTAAACTAATCATGTATCATAGGAGTCCACACTAATTTAAAACTGGAAATTAATAATCACTTTGGATAAAAGAGCAAATATGTCATTAGAGTCAAAGAAAAGAACGGCAGATACATTGTGATTAAAAAATATATCTGTCATTGTACTGACAATACAGCATCAGCTGTTTGTCTTGGTAACTCTGTCAGAAAGGACATAACAGAGCTCATTAGAGTTGTTTCAAGAAGAGATGGTAAATCAGAAAAAGATGATCAATCAGGGGAACAGAAAAAACTCTCCCACATAAGCAAATTAAAATGCCAAGTATTGCTTGCAAAGATAAGTAAGAGCATGGTAGACAAAAATATATTATGAACTTGCTTAAAGCTTCCTGCCTGTACTAATTCTATAAATAAGAGCAAGGCAGCATTAAATTAAAGGATAAGAGCACAAAAGTAATGATGCCAAATATAACCTTTGCATTCACTGATGTGAGGAGAATGATGAAGACTGACAGATGATAGTCAGAATGTCACTAGATAACAAATATCTGGAGTTGTAACTATGGACAAAACTGTTTAAAGGGTGTTGAGCTTTTGAGAGATTCATAAAATCTCCATTAGATTAGGAAGAAATCTGAAGTATGCGTAAACGGAGTGTGGAAGACAAAATATTTTTGTCATCTGACAGCTGCAGAGATCTTACATACTCTTCTGAAATACTTTGTACTGACCGCTGACAGATGAATTGCATCCTGGGTGTGATTCAGACTGCAAGTTCTTGGCTTGTTTTGGGACACAAACAAATATTAAGTTCTTGGCTTTATCTTCTGCAAGTATTAGCTGCCTCAAAAGAACTGGCAATCAGTCAATTTCAATGATATGCAAAATATGAAGTAGCATGTGTCTGAGGATAAATTTCAGGCATCGCTTTTCAAGGCTAGGACTCTCCTTCAAGTCCTGCTTCCTATGACCTGCACTATGTGCCAGGAGAAAAGCTGCCCAGCCTTCTTACAAGCCACCCAAGGTGGCTATACCTGCCTGAAACCTCTGTCTGGGCTGGATTCTCAGCAAGTCTGACTCAACAGACATTGCTTCAGCTTTCTGCAGCTCTGATCCAAAGACACCATTGTTTCTTCCTACAGCACTATAATACAATAGGCATAAAGGTCAAAGGCATCTCTGCCAGTATTTAGATACTGCATAGCAAATTTCTTGAAGACTCAAAGTGTCAGGAGAGGCACGTGTAAAATCTTGCCAAATTGAAATTGCAGAAACTTCAATTTCTAAGGTATGTTTCCACTTTATTCATGGGGAGACCAGTTCTTTTTCAGGCTTCTTTCCCTTGTGCAGGTGAGTAACAAAGGCAGGAGGTTACAACAGCCCGTATTTGAGAAGAGCAGGCTAGATGATGGTAAAAGGAAGTAGTTTGAAATTAATTATGTTTTCAAAGTCTCACATCTGAACATGCCAAGATACAAATAGCTTTGTAAATAATAGTGTTTCATAATATATAGGTTATTTAAAAACAAATAAACTTAATACAGGTATAATTACTCCTAATGGGGCACTTAAATGGTGAGCAATCACCCAGTAATTGCTTGCATTCCTGTGATGACAGCCTGCACTTCATCACATTAGGCTTGTCAAGCTAGACCTTGGGCTTTATGCTAGGCTTCATTTTAACCAGCTAATGACCACAAATTCTTAGCAGCTTGATTATGCTAGGATCTGAAAAGCTGTTAGTAAACGGTGTGTGTTAATATAAAGCTTTCTCTAAGTTCTTTCTCAGAACTTCGGTGGAGCAAGCACAGCCACAGGGTGTACAAGGATACCAGCTGTCAAGTGGGCTGAAAGATTTTCCATGGTGGAGACCCCCTTCCTCCCAGTTCTCTGCCTGGCAGAAAGGATGGGATCCGGCTGCCAGCACATGCCACTGCCTGACACCTCACATGCCAGAAAGCTGACAGCTTCCAGCTCCAGCCTCCACACTGCATGCACAAGGAGGCCACATTTCCAGAGGGAAAAGTTTGTGTCATGAAGCCAAATCCTTCAGGCTTTCAGGGAATTACCCAATATCACAAATTCACTTACAGCCGGCCATTTTCCTCCAAGAATCTGATTGCCAGTCTTCCCAGGGACAACAGTTTTGCTTTTTTTATTGTTGTTAACTGTAGTCTTAATTTTATATAATGAACTAGAAATATAGCCCTTGGGTTAGCTGTAACATGTGGTAGATGCTGTACTTGCCTTAGTAAACTGACTGCTATTTTACAACCCCAGTAGGAATGTCCCAAGAGAATATTGTGTGTGCTATGTGCATGTATCTCAATTAGTTGCAGTAAACCAACTTTCCCCCTCAGGAGTTTGTCTCAAGCCTTACAAAAACATCAGATACAAGTCAATAAAGAGATGCTTTTTGCCTATTCTGGCTGCTGGGTAAGTGGCAGTCAGCTCTCTTCAAGTTAGGGCATCAAAAGAGAAATAATTCAAAAGCAGCATTAAAAAAAAAGATATCTTTCTGAGTAAAACCTCAGGCATAAGGGAGTAGTCATACAATTATATTTTCCTCTAACTGCTAATCTTTCTTAGCTTCTAGCCTGTCTTTTTGTTGATCCCTAGAAAGTGGGAATTTAGGTGTTTACTGCTGAAATTTGGAGTGATTTAAAATGAATGCTTAAACATAGTATAGGATTTTCAAAACTAAGTTATTCATACATTACTAATTTTCTAAGCAGTTAATACTTTTTAAAGAACTCTCATAATTTATTAGCCCATTTCATATCTTACAGCTTATGAAGAAATGCCAAGTAACCCTTGTATTGTGCAGTCAAGGTAGATGAAGATTAAGTCCCTACAGTGAGTGCTAGGAACAGCAGATACACAGCAACCTGGAAATTGTATCCACATCTCTTTTGCCTTTAATTAATGCAAGTTCACTGTTGGAGTTCCTTTCCTCTTTTTATTAATCCCTTATCCAGTGTCTTTGATCTCGGTGACTCTAGCCGTTAGGATAGCTTATGTTTCCTTGATTCTTCTGAATCTGACTTCAGACTTGCAGGGGCTTTCCAACCAGGCTCAATAAGCAGGGTGCTGGGGGACAGGACAAGATTACCCTGCAGGCATGCAATAAATTTCCAGGTAAGCAGAAAATCCAAAAATAAGTTACCAGCCAGCTCTCTAGCTCATACTTGTACATTTGTTTTTGTTACACATTTCTGAATATGCATTTCATCTCTTCCCCTCTTCCCCCCACCCCACACACACACAAACACCAGTGCTTCCATGTTTTTTTTTTTTTTTTTTTTTCTCCTGCCTGCTGGCCCAGAATTACCAGCTGCCCTGCAAGACTATAGGGAATACCTGTTTGTACATTGGGCAGAGGCTAGGAAGGAAGGTCAGGGCTCTGGCCTTGCCTGCAGCAAAAAAGGAAGATCAGGATAGAATACCAAAATACTTTCATAGGAAAAAAAAATTGCTTCAGGTATGTTCTCTGTTTCCAAAGGCAAAAAGTGAAAGTAGTTTACTGTTCTGACTCGAGTTGCTGCCAGCAGTCAAATTTTCATGCATCTTTTGTTTCCGGTTTGTATTTCAGAGATAACAACTGTCCCTGAAGCCAGGAGAATGAGGAGAGCTCTGGATACACATCCATAACTGACTGTGAGGAAAATTGAAATTGCTCAAATCCTGGTGTGGCTACCAGCATCACCATACAACTTGAGAGCATCAGAAAGAAAGGAATGCTAACAGACTTTGAGACACTTCAGAGCTAGTGCTAGAGTCCTGTGGAGAATACTGTAAATAATACAAGGCCATTATGATATTTTTTTTGTGTGCAATTACTTCACTTGTTTTGAAATAAAGAGGAATGTAAGTTTCAATCTGTACTTAAGACAGCAACAAAAAGAAAAATGCTGTATACTATCCCTGTGTAAAAATTAACTTCAAAGGAAGCAGTAGTGTTTCACTAAGGCAACAAGAAAATTTCAGGAGTAGGATGCTTATAATAAAGCTCCTCAGAGTTGCAGGAAGACTAAGCTGTGTTTCAGCTTAAAAATCTTTCCCTAGTAGCTGAGGTACTTAGAACAGTATACTCCTTTGTGTACCTCTTTTAATGTTGCTCCCTTTTAAAGCAGGAAGGTTCTTAAACTCTGTTAATGCTCCCTTAAGAAGTCCTGACATCAAGGTGAATTGGATATCTTCAGCTAAAGGAAGTAATAGACAAGAATTGATGTGCTGGGAAAATAAGGCCATGAGTCATGGTAATGAAAGCATCTCTAGGTGTCCCCAGCTAACAATATTATAGCAGGTCTGCAAAGGGAAATATATTTCCTGACTTAATGGGTAACATTGATAGGATTAAAAGGGTGCGGTTGATTAGCATTATCTGCTTAAGGACAAAATCACATTAAAAGTAGGAGGTCATAGGATTTAAGGATTAAGAATATTGAAGTTTAAAAAGAACAGTAAACTCAGGAGTCAAACTTCTAGGTGGTCTCTTCTGCCACAGTATCAGTTATTTGGCCAGGGAAATAAAAGTGGAATCTGATTGGCAGATAAATAGTGGAGTTATGCAGAGACATATTCGTTCTACTTTTAAAACCACTTAACAAATCTTTGCATTGGAAAGATTTTTTATTTTTAAAGGTTCTTAATAGCTAGCCAAGGAAAGCCAAGACTGTTAATCTCTTCTTAACACCAATCCCAATGTGTTATCAGAGACAGATGAGATGAGGGACAAGAATTCACTGTTAACAGACAGCATTAGAATTGCTAGATAATGCCACAGTACTCACCTGAAATGGGTTATCATTTAAGTAGTAACAGAAGAACTCAGTGATAATCTCAAGAAGATATTTTCCATACAACTAACATAGCCATGGTGTCTGCTGGTCTGTGTAGCCCTGGCATAAGGAGAGAGGTGGAGGTGGGAACAGATTAACCACAGCCTCCCCAAGAATGTTTGGGTCTCCGCTTCTGAGAACATACAAGCTACTACTGTCTTGATATTCTCTCTAACCCAACTTTACGGCATGGCTATATTGGTCACACTGCATTGGCAAATCTCACAAGTGAGGAACTGTTATTTTTCTGATGCTTTTAGCTACTAGAATGGGAAATAGCCCTTTCTAAGGAATGTGGTGTAATGCTATGGACAAGATATCTGATCAGCTAATACCTGCTCCTGCCAGACAAATGACAAATATTGTTAGATCAGCCACTGTCAGGTGCAGTTCCCTTTTTAGCAGCTTCACATGATCCATGAGCCAATCAATGGCACCAGAGCTTGAATTTTTTTCTATTGTTTCTGCCTTGTGTTCCTCTGAGACAGGAAAAAAAAATACTGCTCATGATAGGCTTCTCGATGCTCCTTTCAGTTGCTTCCCCCCCCCCAGTACCTGAGCCTTTTGCACAAAAAAACAGCACTGATATAAAAGAATGAAAAACTGATTCTTCTTAGAACGCAAATTCTATTTGTGTTCTAACTATTTCCTCAGCAATATACATTACTTACAGATGGTACCTTTTCATCCCTAAAATTGAAAATCTTTGAGTGTTATTCCAAAACCAACTGGCAATGGCAAAATCCTTGCTCATGCTTGCATTCACTTCATTCCATGCTATGTTTTACTAGATGACAAAGTGTGCTGAGAATGTTGTGGTAAACACACCAATTGTCTTCGATATTTGTGGGTGAGTGAATTTGAAAGCGTGTTTTAGTAGCCTGCTAATTCCTGTTTGAAACATCCTCTGCCTGTATAGTTGATGCTGTTTTTCCTCTTGCTTTTTTGTAATCAAATCAGCATGAGACCAAATATAACAGAGTGCACTCAAACCTGTTAACTATCTCAAATTATACTGCAATAAAAATACACATTCTCACAACTTACATTTAGTGAATATTGAGTTTGAAGAGTGAGTAGAAAAATAACCACACAGACAGGAAAGGGCAGAATATAAGCAGTCAGGTGAGAAAGAAGAACGGCTTAGAACGCAGTGAGAAATCTGGAAAAGGCAAGCATTAGAAAAAAATCATTGATGCAGAAAGTAAAAACAACAATTTCATTCAAATACCTAAATAATATTCTCATTTTACAAAAGAACACCTCCAAAGCATTGACTGGTGGGTCTTTCCAGTTACTGACTGATGGAAAAAAAAAATGTAAGCCACCACTGCCAACTTCAGCTAAAAGGAGTTGACAAATTGACACTAACTGCTCCCTCACATGATGACTACTCATGCTGTTAGCAAAGCAGCCCATTCTTGCAGACACTTATACTTTGCTTAATGTCCAGTGTCAGTTTTTAATTCCTGGTTTGCTCTATATTGCATAGTTGATTTTGCAAAATAGACAGAATTTACCAAAAGGACAGCTGTAAAGTATTTTTCCAAACTTTATTTTTAAAAGTCATCAATTAAGTATATAAATGCTGACCAGTTCTATTGAGGACAACGCATTAGTATTTATGAAATGAATTTTCTTTTTCTAATACCCCAGAAGCTAAGTCAAAGAATAATAGTGTAAAGCCCTACAAGATGGGTTACAGATTTAATCCCAAGACTTTGTTCAAATCCTATACTTTCTGACTAGCTTATAAAATATTATAGTTGATATACTCTTTTTTACTACAATATTATAGGACAAGGAAAAGTTACATGTATTGCAAGAAATAGAGGATTATAGCAGCTGTATTGTGACTTTACTACCTGACTGATTTCAAGTGATATCTAGAAAACTGCATAACAGCAGGCACAGTATACGATGCAAAATAACATGCCAGGGGAGCATTGATTTAACCACACAGGTTAAAGTTAATCTAGAAACTAAGCATTTTGATAAAAATGGCAGAATCCCCCTTCCCATATTGAAAACTGTACTCTAGAAGACTTGAAAATAATATATCATAGGGAACTTCACACGATTTAAAAGGGTGGCATTAATTTAAAGATGGGCAAATTATGAGGGGCGCATTTTGCAATACAGTACTGCTGTGTGTGTATGTGTCAGTTCAATGACAGTCCATGAGAAGAGCTTTTGCCTGTTTGAAAATGTGTTGCTATAGTGGAATGCCTGCCTCCATTGTTTCCTCAAATCATTTGTCACAATCCCACTTCAATACAAGAAAATTTCCCTTTGTGACCCAGGCAGCAGCTGACCCATCCTAGCTCAGCCTTCCACTCATAATGGCTGTAGTTTTCCATCCATTGTGGACCAGAGTGGTGCAGTCCCACATGTGGCTAAAACTGCTCTGAAGAAAAGGGTCAAACAGCCTCAACTTACTGTAATGAGATGGGAGAGAACTGGCCTCATCTGTGTCATTCAGATTCAGTCAGTCACATCAGAACATCTCTCCCCATTTTCCACCTGCCCCAACGGGCAGAAACAAAAATACGTACTTGGTTATCAAATCCACTGGAAGATGCAACAGGATAAAGATCATCTTTTCCTTATTTTAAACTGCCTCTCTCTACCTCCCTTTCCTCCTTCTACTGTCAACACTTTGGGCCCCAGCCAGCTTGATTTTCATCTTCTGTTACTACACTAGATGCATAGCTAGAAATTGAGTGCATTGTGGTTTGCATTATTTCATTTGTTTCTATCAGCATTGCCTTCCTGTTTTAATTACTTGGGGTTTAGTAAATTAAAACCTCTTTCATTGATAAACAATAGCAAACTATGATGCTAATAAACTTGCTAGTTAGAATACTGTGTTTAACATCAAGTTATACCATTTTATTTTCTTCCCATGGAGAATCCTTTGCAAGAAAAAAAAACAATATTTTGATAGAAAATAAATATCAGAAAAAAGACTTTATTAAAAAAGGCCTGCCAATGTTAATTGATAATATTTAGCTACTCTCACTTGCTTGGTTTGGAGTTCTCCTATTTAATTTAGCTGTCTGGATACAGAGCTTGCTTACCAGGGAAGCTCCTGAGCTTTTACAGCTGTATTTATCATTGTCTTTTATGAACTTAGCTAGCTAACAAAAAGTGTTTTCCAGTACAATTTCTGTTTGCGAAATTTCCTAAATTACAGCTTAGCCCCTTTCATTGTGCAGAAGGTTTCCTCTCCATCATAACAGAAGCTGGAATGGCAGCAGGCAGCCCTAGCAAAAGAACACTTCACAGCACATAGTTTAATACTGCAACTCAGTTCCCATACAGCGCTCAAGATCACTAACCTCAACGGTATCAGCTGTTGACTGGGAAATGAACAAATTACATCATCCCTTTTGTGTCTAATGCATTGAAGTCCCCTGCATAAATTTTGTTTCTGATAAATACATTCATTGTCACACTGGATTCGTTCTGGTCAATTCTTAGAAAGCTCTTTGACTGTAAGCATTAACAAAAAATAGCCTTACTCATTGCATTACTTCTAATTCGTATGAAACCTAAACGTACTGTAGATACAGCAAACTAGCAACAACATGATGGCAAATAGAAAATAAACTCATCTAATTGTCTTTTCTATCAGCTTGCTAACATTCCTTTGAAGTTAGAGATAAAATTTACTTTAGAGATAAATTGCACACAACGATTTAAAAGTCACAAAATCTCTAATATCAAGTTGCCTTTTCTTACCTTAGTCCTAGTTTCCTTATGGATTCTAGGCCATAACACAAACACCTCATAGACTTCAAAACTTTTATTTAACAAGGAAAAGAATCTCAACAAAAAGTTACATTAAAGATAACAAATAGAAAAAGTTTCTAATAACCCCTTTTAGTCCAGATAATAAAATACTTACAAAGTTAAATCATAGTATATAGACTATAAGCTTAAACCTGTACGTCTTAGCAAGTACTTCTTAAAGGATTCTTTAAGATAACTTACCCACTTGACATTTTTCTTCGACACTCTAGAGATGACCACCTTTGAGGTATCTGCTTTACAATCTGCCTTGCTTTACATAGCAGGAAAAGGAATAATCACACCAGTAATCTTCCCCGTACAAAACAAGAAACATCAACACAGAGTTGCACTATCTCTCTAGAAAAAAAAACAATCACCCAGTAATGGAGCCGATTTAACCTTCTCAAGAATAAGCATAACTTCAGCAAACATAACATTATACGCAAATCAGAAAACTTTTAACAATAGCGATGTATAACATAATAGAAAGAAAGTACAGTAATGATAGCAGAACAGCAAAGTCCTAAGCTGCAGCAAGAAAGAACTTGCTCGAGTACAAAACCATCAGCACATAAAGAAAAAAAAAAAAGTTCTTACCCTCACAAAGCCTCAAGTAAGTAGGGACCTTCAGCAAGAAACCTGTACCTCCACTGCCAACACTTAAATGAGGTCTGGGAAGGGGTGGATCCTGACTCCACCATTTCCAGTCACTCAGGGGCATTACGTGCACCTGAGCTGCCCCGGGTTGGCCCTGCCTTCCCACCAGGTGCTCAATCACTGGGTCAGGCCGTGACTCAGGACTTCCACTACAAGGTTCTAAACCATTACTGCTGGTTACCACTTTTTAAATCTTTTCTTTAAATTAACATATAAAGCATTTGATAAGCTAATATTATAAGTATACTTTCACAGATGAATTCTTTCTTAGTGAAGTTACTGTAAAACAACTTTAGTGGGTGTATGGGGACTGCTGAATCACAGCCTGAACCTCTGATTGATCACCTCAGGCGAGCAATGAGTCAGCCACAGGAGCACAGGTGAAGGCAATTCACCCATGCTGCCAGAAGTGGTAGAGCCTGGCTCCACCTCTCCTAGACCCATTTAAGAGCTGAGCGCTGGGGGAGAAGGAGCTCTTCTGGAGATCCTCTCCACTGGATTTTCCTACACAAGCCTAGGATGGGTGAGTGTTCTTTTTTGCTCTAGAATAATAGTTATGTAAGCTAAGCTCTTGATTATGTTACATTATCTGTATATTTGTTGGTAGTACAGTGGGTCATTCAGAAAAACTTTGAAAATCTTTTCGAAGTTTACCTTATTCTTCTGGTAAATATCTCCAAAACAGCACTGTGAATTTTTCTTTGAGCTTTTAGAGGCTTATGATTTCCATAGCAATGTCATGTAGCATCAATGTAAATATAGTAACTTATTTGCTGTGAATTGTTACAGTGTAGCAACAAACTATCAAATCAGTTCTTCAGGCCAAGGGCCTTCTGTACATGTTTGCTTCCGTAGCGTACTGTTTATATATTAAGGTCTATTATGGTATCTATTGAATAAACTTTTTAATGAGTATCTAATGTTAATTATGGAGATCGTGCTAAATTCCCTGAGAATTCTCTGTGGTTACTGTTAAGTCATGGCCTGAAGCACTGATTGAGCACCTGGGAAAGGAACCCAGTCAGTCCTGGAAGCACAGGTGAAGGTAATTTAGCTGTGCAACCCTGGCTGCACCTCTTCTAGGCACCATTTAAAAGCTGACTGCCACTGGGGAAGGATCTCTGGTTTGGGATTCCTTCCTTGTGGAGTTTTCCCTGTAAGTCTAACTCTTTAGCAACAGGTGAGTATTTATTTTCTGTGACACCTTTTTATTTGTGCTAGTACACTTGTTATTATGCCTTCTGTATTGCTGGCCTTCTGCGTTGCTCTTTCTGATTGTTATGTTCTTCCTGTGAGATCAGTGCAGGCACTCTACAGCTTCCATGTCGTAGACAGTGAGTATAGGAGAGAGAGTTGAGGTAACTTGCTCTTTGACTAGCAAGGGCTTAAGTAAAATTCACTTATATTCCTCTGTGTCTGCTTTGAAATAAGGATGCTCATTGGCCTGATACAGATGCTGACGTACTCCCTCTTAGCCTAGACTACATTATTTGTTTAAGGGAAGATTCCTGTTAGGATGGAGTAGAATAGAAAAGAATAAAGTTTCTTGATTGGGAGAGACCTCAAAAGATCAATTAGTTCAGCTACCTGACTACTGCTCAGCTAACCAGAAGTTAAGTGCTCTGCTACTGAGGGCATTATCTAAATGCTTCTTGAATCCTTACAGGTATGGGGTATTGGTCACCTCTCTAGGAAACACACTTTAGTGTTTCACCACTCTCGCATTAGGCAAGATTTTCCTTGTGTCCAATCTGAATGTCCCCTTGCACAGCTCTGTGTTATTCTTGTGTGTCTTGTGTTATTGGCTTCCAGAAGCAGAGCCTAGCCCCTCTCTGCTTTTCTGCTTTCCTTCTCTTTCCTTCTTCGGGGATCTGCAGGGAACAATGAAGCCACCTAATGATCTTCTCTTCTCCAGGCTGGGCAACCTAATGTCCTTGGTCTCTCCTCAAAGGACTTGCCTCCTGCTATACTGCTATACTCCCTCCAGCTATACTGCCCTCTCATGGATGCCTTCGAGGACCTCAACATCCTTTTCAAATTGAGGAGTGCAGAACTATACACAGTATTCAAGGTGAGGCTATACCAATATTAAATTTGGGTGAATGCTTTCTGTAGGTGAACAAGTCCTCTTACCTTTTCTGCTGGATGCTTATTTTGATGCATAAATATCTACATTTTTTAATTAAAAAAAAAAAAATGTTAGTTAAGCCACTGATTAATCCAGGAGGCATTGTGAGTGAGAATGAGTTGAAGAATGATAAATCACTAGAGAGATTTTGTTGGAGTGCCTGTTACTGACATAAAGAGTTCCTCGTCTACTCTCAGGGTGCAGTCAAGCACAGTGTGTGGCAGCTCTGGGACTTCAAGTGAAAGTAAGGACTCAAGAGAACACAGATTGGCTACAGCCACTCTAAGTCAAAGTGGAGGCAAAAGCCTGCTAGGGAGGGTAAAATGATGACACTTGTCAAAGATTAAGTAATACATCAAAGTATGTAACTGTTTGATATAATTAGAACATAATACCTATATATAACATCTGACAAAATGGTTTTTTTTGTTTTGATAAAAGATACAGAACCCATCCTTTTTTCATAATCAAGGTGAAGAAAACATCAATTTTCTGTTGATTAGTTACCCAGCATGAACTAGCTAAAGTGAAAATACACAGTAGAGCAGAAATGTAGCTTGAGAAGCCTGTCCTGCTTTGCATGACTCTGGGCAGAAAGGAGAAATTGAATACTGCAGGTCCCAGTGAGAAAATGCTTAAAGCCATACCTAAATAATTTGCTGTTCAATGTTCACTGTAGCTGTGCTCTGGTAACAGAGGCAGGAGACAAAATAGTGTCAGCTTCCTTTTACAGGCTTATGAGCCTATTTACAGGATGCAGTAAGTTATGTTCAGGATAGAGAAGAGACAGCATTCTGCCAGCAGGGAGTGTGGCCACTGGGTCACCAGTCTAGCTGTCTAGTACCTTTGCCAGTTAGCTGCCTTATCTGTGTGACTTGCCATCTTGAGAGTGCTGACCTTGCCAGTGAAAGTAGGGAACTCTTTGATTACTATCTAGAGCTTTAAAGCTCTAGACTTGTATCACACAGCCATGATGTGCCCAATTTTAACCAATCCTTTAATTTATACTTTTGCTTCCAATTCACTTAAGTGAAATAACCTTACTCTTGCAATGTTGTTACAAAGAAAAATGGACACTCTGGCTTAAAAATGTCAGAGTAATATATTTTATGATTTGAGGAGATGAAAATGTTAATCTGATAAGTTGGCATTAATTGATAGTTTCAGTCAAACCAAACATGCGCAGGTCTCCCTGTACACTTGTGATGAAAGTACAGCAAATTTCTAAGGAAGACATTTAAAGCTACATAATAAGAAAATAAAAATCTATTGCTGGCAAGTTGCCTGTCATTTAGCACTGAGGCAGCTAACAATTTATATCTGGGGTCTTTAAACCAAATGCTAAATAGCAATGGCCTCATTCATGTGTGAAACACAAGTGTGTTAACAGATGACTAACAATGTATAACTACATTTAAAAGAGCATGTGAGGAAAAAGAAATGAGATAACTGGGTAAGTGTTCCTCTGGGCAGAATATAAAAGCCACCTTGGAAGCTGGCTGAAGATGACCAGTAAGTCAATTTAACTCTGAGGGTGAGTTTCAGAGTTCTTAGGACTGTGGTTAGGTAACACAGTGGGTAACTCAGGCTGCCACAACTGATACAAAACTTCCAGCCACTAGGAGGCAAGTATTGATCTCTCAGACTTGCACTGTCAATGTAAAACCAGTGTAAGTATTCTGATGGGTTAGCACTGAAGTAGCTGCTTTTTTATGCCAGATTAGCTCTCTGGTCAGGTATTGTCTGTCCCCTTGCAGCTGATGTGAAGCTGGCACAGACTCCAGGCTATGTGCTCATTGTAGAGTCTGGCACAGCTATGTGGTTAGTTAGTGCCCAGATTTTGCAGTACATGTAAATAAGGCTGGACTACTTCAAGTCTGCAGTCCCCCAGAGTATCACTAGATGCTGAGACAAGAGCCATATAACTCCATGCAGCAATAACCTGAACTGCAATAAGGTTTGAAAAGTTCTTTTTACTATGCTAAGTGGATTGTGATGAGGTTCTAGCCCAAACCTGGCCACACAAATAGGCATGAAATGGATCTATCTGAAGTGCCAATTGAAGTGTAACACTGTAACTAGTTCAAATGAGATAAAAATCAGCCCTTTTTCTGTCTGTGCTAAGAGCTGGCATGTAAAATTAGAAACTTTCTTTCAGGACAAATCAGTCAAAATGGATGTAAAAGATTGACTAACTTTATCATAGTGTGCATAGAGTCTAATTAGCTTATCACAAGCTTATGTTGTTAAGCAATACTGAAATTGTGAACTATGACTGTATCATAATTACAATGTACACTTTGTCACACTTTCTTCAAAGCTAGAGCAGGAAGCCAAACCAAAGTGAACAATAGAGGAAAAATGTGGCATGGATATATAGTGACTCAATCCTTGCTTCCTCTTTTCCTTCTGACCAGTCACCAGCCCTCACAGAGCAATTCTGCTTTGGGTCAACTTGAATTAGAGCCCAGCATAACGCACAAACTCTCCCGAGGCACATAAACCATTCTTTCAACTAAAGCTACTTGTCCACACATCATCTTACAGCAGCCAAACTAATTACAATTGCATGTCTTCCCAAGTATCAAAACCTGCTTGTCTGCCAAGATAAAAACAATTGGAGGACTGTGAAGTGATATAACCTGGGGACACCTACTGCACAGATGTATTTTTAAGCTCTATTATGCAGAGCTCTGGCAGTAAATTCAGTGTGTGCCACTTGGTAACTGGGTGAAGTCAGACTAGTTTATTCAGTTCAACAATAAACCCATGTGGAAGTCAGGACTGATTTGAAAGTCTAGGATAGATCTCATAACAGACTGCTACTCAGTGTGGTTTTACTTTTTGGGTGAAGCAAATTAGAAAAACTGACATAACTAACAGTGCAAAAAAAAAAAAAAGCCCCACACCTGTTGGGATCAGCAGGCATTCAGAAGAACAGCCTGGAGTCATGGCTGGCAGCATGATGCAGTTGTAGGAATGCTAACAGGCTCAAAGCAGTTTAGAGGTGCAATACAAACTCCTGTTGACTGCAGATGAACAAAAAAAAAAAAAAAACCATGGCAGGTTTTTTTTTTTTTTTTAAAGAAGGGGTTATTAACCACTGTAATAGCAAAACTGTTTTTGAGCTCCCCTGTAGTATCACCTCTCCACAGCACAAGATTCGGGTGTTCTCATTCTGTAGTCTTCCCTTGGCTGCTTCCACATGATTGCTGTAGTAATATGAAGTCTATTAAAAGGTTTTAACGGTCACCCACCCAAATGTTTCAGAAATGTTTTCAGATATCCTTAGAGAGCTGTTGCCCCCAAATAATTCTACTCTCCCAGAAAAGCCAGAGTAGTATTAGTCGCTCAGTGGGAGTTAACCTCTTCTTGTTGTTGTGGCTAGGTTCATTTTGCAAAAACCAGTTCCTTGCCTGTATCTGCATGTAAGCAATACAAAATTCCAGTACCAATGAGCCTCTGCAATGTCTGGGAAAGAACTATTGTATTGTATTAGAAAAAGACAAATATTAAAAATATTTGTACTCATTGGAATAGCAAAGTATGCTGCAGAAATGGATCACCTTTAGATGCAGAATAATGATACAAATTTTCCAGTTAAAATTGTCTCAAATGCAATTATCACTAATTAAGCCAATGGTTTTCTGCATATTGTCAGCTATTGAAACTACCTGAAGACTTTATCAATTCAAAACTTTATACTTCTGAGGATACATGTACATATCTCTGAAGACAGGTCAATGCTGAAAATAGAGAGATCTGGAAGATTTGGGTCTTGTAATTGAAGAGAGGCATATGCGAATGTGCAGGAGCCAGCTCAGATGGTGGTGAGAGAGCTGGAAAATGAGTTCCCAAGAGAATCTCTATGTCAGTCAGACTTGGTGTGAGATCTGGCTGTGAGGGCAAGGGAGAGAGGCAGGAAGAAGGAATGTAGACGGCAGCCAGTTATGGTTTGAGCACTGGTTAAAAGTCTTGTGGATTTGAGGAAATAAAACATGCTATCTTATGCTCAGAAAAATCATGATTAGTAGGTAAAGAAGGCTGTGTTAGAGGCATGCGACTCCCACTGTGTGTTTCACTCTAAGCTGAAATCAGCAAAGCCCCACCTTCTAGCAGGTTGCTCATGCTGGGACTCTGAGCAGGATTCTGAGACAATTATGCATGGGGCTGGAGCCAGCAGAGCTTGTAACTTTGTGAAGGGTTCAGGTGGGCACTGGTGGTGAGCTCCACAGCTAAGGAAGTGAAGAACCAGATAGCTCTGAGCAGTGCTACAGTCCACACTTTTTTTTTTTTTTTTTTGGATGGTTTGAACAACCAGGTGTCCATGGAGTGGCCTCCAGCTACCAGCTCTTTTCTCTTTGCCCTGGAAGGGACCACTGAATCAGAAACTTCACAAATACGTTGTCTGTTGGCTCAGCAATAAGCTGAAAGCATCCAATAGCAGATTCACCTGCATGACTCCTCAGCCATCTTGCATTCCCTGAAACATCTTCACAATGTCCTACATGGCAATGTTCACCATATACAAAAATGACAAGTTTTGTTAAAACTGTAGCATTTTTCACTGTATGGTTGTGCTGTGTGTTTACCTTAGGATTTTCTTCAGCATAGAACTGTCAGCATGCAGATGTTTAAAAAAAAAAAAAAACTATGTAATTAGTTTCTCAGGAAAGACAAGTAGAACCAGTGGAAAAAGATAAAATAAAGAGCAAGCTGGCAGCAAACCTACTAGCAGGATGACAAAAATTCTGGAATGTGCTCTGCAAAGCAGTCAGCTTCTCTTGGAATTCAGTAGCCAGCTGGAGGGTGTGATGATGCAGAGGAGAAAATTGAAGCCAACAAAAATCAAGTGAGGCAGGTCAGGAAAGGGGATGGTGTGGGAGAAGTGAACCAAAGTATGTTTGTCTATGCCTAAGCCACTTAGTCTATAGGCAAGAGGCCACAACAGCACTGAAATTTGCTTTACATCTTTTCTGTGAAATGTAGCAGATACAGCTATAATTTTCCTCTTGTAGGTTGTAGCTGCTAGGACTAGGCTGTAAAATAACAAAGTCATGATCTACATAAATGCTGAGACTTTTTATCTAGCAATAGAAAGCTGTAGCCCTCACCTCAGATTTACTTCTGCCGAGGGGTGTGCTCCAGGCACCCGTCCGTGCCTCATTTACTGCTGTTTGGTGCACGGGTTTAAGTAGAGAGGCGTTTCAGGGGCTCCTTTCAGCTAGGGCTCCCGCCTTCAGTCCGACTCAGTACGAGGATAACAGCCGTGGGTACCGCTAAGGGCGGGGGCTCCCTCAGACGACACGGATGCTCCGGGTTCGGAAGGGCTTTTTGCGCTGCCCCCCAGGCTCACCGCGACAGGGGAGGGGAGGGGGAAAGACGGCCGCGGGCAGCCGGCGGGGCCGGCCCCGAGCAGCCTCAGGCAGCCGCACACCGCGCAACGGCGGCTGGCGGGGAGCGGGCGGGAGCCAATGGGGGCTGGCGTGGCCGAGTGACAGGCGGGGCGGCCGCTACCCCAGCCGGGCAGTCGGGGCGGGGAGCCGGCATCGTCTCTCAGCGGCAGCATCCTCTTCTCTCCCCCGGCAGCCGCGGCGGGAGAGGCCGGCCGGCGGAGCAGAACGGAGCGGGGGGCGCCGCGACAGACAAAGCAAAGATGGCAGGGATCCTTGCCTGGTTCTGGAACGAGCGGTTCTGGCTGCCGCACAACGTCACCTGGGCCGACCTGCAGAGCACGGAGGAAGCCTCCTTCCCGCAGGCGGAGGACCTCTACCTCGCCTTCCCGCTGGCCTTCTGCATCTTCATGATCCGGCTGCTCTTCGAAAGGTAACGCGGCGTCCCGGGCGGCCGCTGGCCGCGGGGCCGCTTCGGGTCCTCCTCCCCCGGCCTCGCTGCGCCGCTCCGCGCTCCCTTTCCCGTCGCTCGGTCACGTAGCGGCCCGGTGAGAACAGGTCCAAGGGCCGACCGGCGGGGTCCAGAGCCCGCGGCCCGGCACTAGGAGGCGAGGTCGCCCCAGGGACGGGCCCAGCCTTCCACCTGCAGCCCCGCGCCGGTGGCGGGAGAAGGGCCCTCGGCTACCTGCGTGGGCCGGGCCTGCGGGCTGCCGCCCACCGGCTGTGTCCCCGGCCTCGCGTTCTAGGCCGAGCGGGAAGCCGTCCCGAAAGCGGAGTTCCCCCGCGGCTTCGCCGGAGGGCTCCCGCGGAAGGGCTGGGCTGTGGGAACGAGCTGCTCGCAGCCCTGCGGGCGCCGCGGGGTCGCTCCGGAGCCAGGCTCGCCCTCGGCTCCGCTGCCGCAGGCTTTGCGCGCGCGGCGGTTTAAACCTGGGCGCCAGGTGCGGCCGCGCGGTGTAACGGTCAGCGCGCGCTTGAGGCGAGGAGCGCGGGCGGCCGCGCGCTCCGTTCCCCGTGGCGGCGGTTGCAGCGTCCCACGGAAGGCTGTCGCGGTGCGTTAGCCGCTGTGAAAGAGCCGGTCCGTGAGAGAGCGCTGTCTGCCGAGCGTTCCCCTGCTCTTGTCAGGTTCTGTTGCCGAGTTTTCTGGTCGGTGACAAACGCGGCTGCTTTCACCGCTCGGGTGAGAGGACAGTAGGAGCAACAAGCTGCCTCCCGCTGTCCTTAACTTCCGTGTGGCTTCTGCAGATTGAAAAGACAGCAAAACTTGTAGCCTGGCTGAGCTGATTTAACATTTATCCTAACGCTGAGGTAGAATTACCCTTTGAGTGCCAGGAATCATTTAGATAATGCCAAATCATTTGCTTTTTTCTTTTGCTGCCTGTACAACGTGTACTTCTCATCCAGGGAGGTTTTCTTAGCAATTATTTGAGAAAGTGTTTGCATCTTTTTAGTTTCACGTCAGCTTTAAGGCTTCGATATGAGAGTAGGCTCGGGCTGTCCATGCGGTGTGGAGCGACTGTGACTTTTAGTGCAGAGCGCTGCAGTGAAGCAGGCTGAGCAGAAGCGGCGGGACCTGCTCCCACTGCTCGGAGCAGGAGGACTGTCTCTGAATGATGGATTGTTGCTTATGGTTGCTTGGCAGTCTATTTCACCAGACCTCCGTGTTTTGCTTGTGGAGAATAGTCACAATGCCTTGTGCTCGTCATTAGTGAGAGGCTTGCAGTCACTTTGGTTGATAAAGCTTTCTGAGAACTGGAAAGGACAAGAGAGGGATATCTGAAATGAATTGATAATTTTTCATTTTTCTGTGTAATATAACATCTGCTTTTTTTTTTTCGTTTGTTTTTCTGGAATTCATCAGTTGATAACTGATGTTGCATGCACTACATCCTGGAGCAGGTTTCTGCAGGTCTGTTCACTGATTTTGCAACAGAATCACTTAACGAACAAATCAAAATAGATGCTGTGATACATCTTAACAAGTTCTGTGCGTACTTTCAATTCACAGCTGTACTGAAATACTTCTAACATGAGTGCATCTTCTTTCTTTCTTTCTTTCTTATCTTTCTTCTTTCTTTCTTATACTTAGTATAGGTGCTCCGGTAACTCTTGATACTGATAGGCAAGCAACAATGTGGTGCTGAGAATCTCATTAAGCATTTTATACCTATTATCTCAAACTGTTTCACAGTAGCTGGCTGCTTGAGCAGTGTGGTTTTACTTCCCTTGCTGTGTAAAGGATGACCAACTTGCCAGGTCTTAAAGCAGTAAGAAACACACTTCAGGGGGAGCTATGATTTGGACTTTGCATGTCTTACAGAGTTCTTTATGTCTGGGGGATAATACCTGTCATGCTAAAGGTTAAAAGTTGACTTGATTTAAGGTATACATATATTATACATATACATTTTGGTTACATATTTTTGTGTGCAACTGAGAATACAGAATTTGAAAATTTTGTTCTATATATATTCACCTATTGTTAACAGAATTAACCTACTGGTTGTTTGGTGTGGTTTTTGGTTTGTTTGATGAATCAACTAGCAAAGTCAGGAAAAGAATCTAGATCCTTCTGAAGTTATATATATTGTTTCCCTTTCAAGGAAACCATTTCTCCTGATTTCCCTATCCTTGACCTTCACTCACGTATAAAAGAGAAAAAAATAGATTAGAACGTTAAGTATATCCTCTAACAGTTGGATCTGATGATGATGAGTGCTTTAGAAATAAGCTTTGCTTTCTGAGGTAATCTCATAACTGTAAGATTTAGCGGCTTTACCTGATGAGGCCATCATAGTTATGGATGAGGTGCTAAAATACCTTAACAGCCTTTTCTTTTTTCCCTTCCTTCTCATTTATCCCTTTCATTAAACACCAAGTTGATTTTAGAAACTGTAACTGAGCACAATGATAATGTTACCTAGTAATTTAGAAGATGACTTTAGTTTGACATTGCAATGGAAACATATTTCTTCATAGCATCCATCAATTTTGTGTTGTTGTGTTGTTTGCTTGTTTGCTGTTGTTTGTTTGTTTGTTTGTTTTTGCTAAGACATGTTAGCAATTAAAGATCCCCTCTTGAGTTATCTAACGCCTTCAGCTCTAAGGACGTAATGTAAGTGCTTATTGATACTACTCTCTCAATTCTCTCTAGTTCTAAAGCAAGCAAGACAGGTTAAAGCTGAATTGAAGCCGATCTTACTAATAGCATAGTGCTGTAGTTTTGGTTGGCCTAAAAAGATAAAGTGCCATCTGTTGTTCTGAGCGAAATATAATTTTTCATCTTTATTTTATGTGATTCCATACATGTTCTGCTAAGAAGCAGCAGCTCTGCCTATCCCTCCAAGACTGTCCTCTGTGAGAGGAACATATGAAAATAAGGTTTGTCAGTGTGCTTATCTGGCACAAAATGAGAGGGTAACACTCCTCCCTTTTAGAGCCATCTCAATGGATTGAGGTTGGCTGAATTCTCCAGAAGGTGTGCTAACTAAACACGTTTCTGATGTGGTCCAACAATCTTATGTCTGAGTCAAGTAATGTTTTTCAGTGTTTTCTGTATACCTGGCTCATGTTCTCTAGATACTTGTGTCTCATGTTTGCACAGTAGTTGTAATATGCTTTCTGGTGCCTTACAAGCAACAGCTTGAGCTCAGATCAGATGGGATAGCTGCCTAATTCACCAATCTGATCTTACAATTCCTTTCTTGTCCTCTGGTATCTATGTCTATGGATTGTTTCTTAAAGGTGAAGCTGATCTTCCTCAGCTGATGGAATAGCTTGATGTGGCCAGGTATAGCTTGACTATAAGGAACAGCAGTCTTCCAGCAGCACTGATTTAAGCTGATCCAGCCTCATGGTTCATGATTAGTCAGGTCAATACACTCTAGACATTAAGCGTATGGAAATTCATGACTTTTGTTTGAAATTTTACTTTTATAATGATAGTTCAGCCTCAAAGCTAACCTCAACTGACTCGTTTTTAGTTCAGTGCTGTATAATTCCTAGTGAGTCAGGGTGACATAATGCAATGAGCAGGTGTGTGAGCGTGTGTGTCTGTATATATGGCAAACTGTCAAAATTAATTCAAGTGGCAATACATTAAAGCATTGTCAGTGTCTCTGGTATACGTGCTGTGTGTGGACGTTTGATCTTCATAATCCCTAAATCATCCAGTAGTGGTGATTTATTATGATTACAGGGAGTTTTAGAGAGGATACTGCATTTGGAATGATAAGTATGGACGTTGTGCATTTCCAGCAACCCAAAACCTCCTCTTGGCTGGTTGGGTGAGGCAGTGACTGTTATTTCTGCCCATCCTGTTTATAGGCTGCAATATTATTAGATTTCTTGCGTAGTTCCCTGTGTAGTAGACATGATCTTACTGTTGTCATCTGTTCAGTTGTCATTCACCAGTGTGCAAGTGGATGCAGATGTTCACTGACAGTAACTTTCTCCTTTTTTTTTTTTTCTTTCTTTCTCTCTCTTTTTTTTTATCTTTATGATTTCTTTTTTAATAAGAGAATCTGGGACTTTTTTTTGCTTGGATAGTTAATTCAGTTGAAACTGAATTGGACATTGATAACTTCCTTATGAAAAGACATAGAAAATAACTAAAAAGCAATTTATTTCATACTTCAAATGAATTTCCTTTTAAAATTATAACAGTATAGCATTAATAATAAATACATTCCAAATAAACGTGTACTGTACAGTGTTCATCCATTTCTCTGTGCTTCTCTCAGTTTAGCTGTTAAGCTTCTGCCATGTATTTTTGTTTTTATTTCATGGAGTTGGTGTTTGGGCTTTGGTCACTAAAACAAGTAGATATCACACAGGAAAATGATTGCTTCTAACTGGAGAGGAAGTATCAGTCTGTCTTGGCATGGATGGAGCTCTGCCTTGCCAGCTGTGACCAACATGGTGTATAATCACCCTCCTCATGGGTAACTGTTGGCTGGTGTGCCCCTCTGTTGCTTGGAAGAAAATATAGGCTTGTGTTTACACTTAAGCTGGGGATATTCCTTTAAAAGAAAGCAGAGTATAGAAAATAGGTACAGTTTGAATGTATTTTATAAAGGGCTATTTATAGGTGAACATTCGTGCCAATCTCAAAATTAGGAATTAAATTGGAGATATGTGTTGAGCTCCTGGAGAAAACACCATTAAAACCAATTTCTAAAATGTCCAGGTGACAGAAGTATGACAGCCAAGCCACTGTTCATCTATGGGAAGGGTTTCAATGACAAGTTACTAGAGGATACTGGGAGCTTATTACTTGTGCAGAGCTGCTATTAGTGGTGTTCTGTCAGAGTGCAGATTCCCGCTACTGTTAGCAACTTCCTTTCGCTTCTCACATGGATTCTTGTAACAGTGCTTTTTGATCCAAATTGCCGTGGCTCTTTCTGTTGCTAATATTTATGCCTCTATTACTGATTA